ATTGGCAGGAATACGTAACTTTTTGGATCGAATGACATACTCGGAGCTAAGATATATGTTCAAAGTTAACAAAAGGGAATACGCTATAATTTTTGCGATGGCCGAATGTGCTGCTCTTTGTCACATTTATTAATCTGAGCGATACACAAACGCCAATAATGTGGGTGTGACAAAGTTCCAAAAAACGGTTTTTTACAGTCAATGCCGAGAAGTACTAATCCTGTTGAAAGTAAAAGGATAATGATGGACTTACGGATATTATCTCGAGCTTATGACTGTCCTCACATTGTTCACTCTTATGGTTACATAATTACAGAGGTAATTTTTCCTGTTGGCTTCAGAGCTGCTCGTGGATCGACATTATCTTTTTGTAGAATGAAGTTATGATATGTATGGAAGCAATGGCTACTTGTCTGGATTTGCTACTAAAACGAACGGGTAATGCGCCAATTCCTGAACCTATTGTCGGGAAAATGTCTGTCAGCGTGGTAAACGCGCTCCATTATCTCAAACAAAATCACGTGAGCGCTTCATTCGTGTAGTTTTTCAAATTGATGAGCTTATATGTTAGATTATAGTGTGCATACACATGTAAGACTAAATATTGTTATAGCGGTAGTGTTTCTTTTGAATTTTTTATTTCTTAAACGCTATCAAAATTGTCATGTCATTCGACACTTTATCTCTGGCTTCGGCTGATTAGCCAAAGTTTAAGCCCAACTCATCAAGTGAACTCTTGTGATATAATAGCATATGAAAGGCAGTTAAAGTATGAGGAAAATATTTTCTGTTCATTCTTTGTCCATATGTCTTTAGTTCCACTGAACTTATTTTGCGAACTTTATGATTAGACGAGTTCTCGGCATCTGGCGTTGTTGCAATCAGTGTGAAGACGTTTTTGCAGCAGTTTAAGTCAAGCGTACGTCTTTGCAGAATGTCATTCACCGTGATGTGAAACCTTCTAATATACTATTGGACTGGAATGGTGTGGTAAAACTTTGCGACTTTGGCATTAGTGGTTTTCTGATCGAGAGCAGAGCCAAGTCCAAAGGAGCAGGGTGTCCTCCATATATGGCCCCTGAAAGAGTGCGGGTAACTGTACGTCTTGATGTTATAGCTCATTACTGTTCAAGCAGTGCACGTTTATACACAGGAAGATACACCTTATGATATACGCAGCGATGTTTGGTCGCTTGGTATAACGTTGGTGGAACTTGCAACGGGACATTTCCCATACAAAGGAACCGATTTCCAAATAATTTCTTCGATTCTCGAGTTCCCGAGCCCATCTTTGAAGCCATCGGTTTGTTTGTGTACTTAAAGATCTCACGCAGATATTTCTTTCTAAATCTGAAACATTTTGAATTGGCATAATCTCCGATCTTTGGAAACTTCAGTCATAGGAGTGGCACGGCTGTCAAGTCTGAGACATTAACCCGTGAGACATTTGCCGCATAAGTTGTGACTGTGATTGCTCCTTGCTTTATCCCATAGGCGTCGTGAGATGGGCGTCGTCTTAAAACCTGGCGCTTTCACAGGTTAACGAATGATATGCTTATTTTCAATAATATTGAGAAGAATGGCGCATAAAGTTGAAATCGCTTTGCCGCTATAGGCCTACTCACAGTGCATATCGTGTGCATTGCCCATTTTTTGAAGCGTACCGTGAATAACGATATGTTCAATGGCCAAACCTATCTTGCAAATACGTCAGCATTGCCGCGCGGTGAATCTCGGATTTTCACTCTTCATTGAGAAAATTGAAGCGTCGATGAGTTGTTAAGTGCATGCTTCGGCGCAGCAAAGTCGTTGGAACAGCACTTTAATCACCATTTAGGATGGCTTCACACTAGAATTTTGTGATCTAGTCGATCTGTGCTTAAGGAGGAATGTTGAGGAACGACCAGTATATACTGTTATCCTGGTTAGACTTTTGCAGATCACAACTTTTGAGGTTTGTTGGAATTTGACTTTTGCAGAGACATCCATTCATCGTGAAGAACGAAAAAGCAGACACAGATGTTTCGGAATGGTTTAGCGAGATCATGACGACAACATAACTGCAGCCGGTTGATTATGCGCAATCATATATCCGCTTCCTCTCCACCAATAAGCTTCAAAGCCAAAATTTGTATTACTGAATTGTAATGTGAAATTATGTTATAGTATCTGACATTGTTTGTAAATTTGCTGTACGGGTCTTTTATGTACATGTTGGCTAATGTGCACCTCACTGTTAACAAACATTTAAGGCCTTCAACATTCAAGGAGTAATATGCACAAAATTCAATGTGTTTCTAAGGTTCACAGGATATAAAAATTTTATAAGGATTGAGAGTTTTTTAGGCTACAGAGTTTGTGACAGTGGTTATTGCAGCTTAGTTTCACCTTTATATTATGTTTTGTATTGATGCGTAAATTTCCCCTTTTTTAAGTTAGAGTCATTTCTAGGAAAATGTATTGTGATACATGTCGATACACAGTTTCAAACGTGCCTGTATCACTAGA